CCCCCCTCTCTCTCTCTCTCTCTCTCTCTGTCTCTCTGTCTCTCTGTCTCTCTGTCTCTCTGTCATTTATTCACTTCCCAGTCTGTAGGAAGGAGCAGAGAAAAAATAGTCCAGCTTTACTTGACAGACCTTACCAAGCACAGACCAAATATCAGCAAGGCCGCTTGCTCGTGAAATTGAGAGAGTATTTTAGGAAGTTTTTGTGTTTTTAAAAATAATTTCAGGATTCCGTTATCGCTGGAAATAATTTATTATTGGCGGGCACCAGTTGACTGCGGTGAGGATTTTTATTGTTTCGTGGCATGATGAATATACGAGACTATGCCCCACCTCGGCCACAGGATAGACAATCCTTTCACAAATACAAGAAGCTGTACATTCTGAAATGGATTTGTGTCATTGTTACCTCGCTTCTCGTGTCGTCTGCTGCCGTTGTCGTAATTGTTCACATTGTGTTGGCGGACAAGGCTGATGTACTGAGCATTATAAACCAGGTGACCACCAATATCAGCAGCCGGTTGTCTGACGTGCAGGAAAAGTTCGACAACCTGGAGGAGATCGTGTCAAGGGTGGAGGATGACGTCAGGGCGCGAAGTGACCTTAAGCTCTGCTCCCACGGCAACGGCTGTCGGCTGACCAGTAGCTATAAGGTAAGGACCCATTGTTACAAGGTGTTCAGAAATAAAACTACGTGGGCCGACGCGAGGAAGAAATGTCAGTCTTTCGGTGGCTTCCTGGCCGAGTTTCATGACTATGTCTCCCTGGAATACGTGCAACGGGTTGTTGCCCCTAGTCCCTCAAGGCTTTGGATCGGCGCTAGTGACGAGGGTAGAGAGGGCAACTGGACGTGGGTCACGTCCAACAAACGCCTGATGGTGGACGACTGGGACAGGAACCAGCCGGACAACGACAAGAACATCGAGCACTGCTTGGAGACAAACAAACGCTATCAAGGAAATTACTGGAACGACATGCCGTGTAATTTCTTGTTGGGATATATCTGTCAGAGAGACGGGGACCACTGTGAAGACTGGCTGAAGAAAACGTAGACCCCCCCCCCCCCCCCACTCTCCTTTTTTCGTAGATGACTTAACGTAGCGCTCAGATCCGGAGTCCCCGTGGGGGTCACAGTGGGGCTGGCGCTAAATCTTACTGGAACAGAAAATAGTTGACTGTGACCGTGGACGTGAGCAAAGACATGGAGAGTTATACTTTACTTTTACTACAACAGTTTGCTGCGAGGCTGTTGTTCTAGACGAGTCTTGTCATACATCCTGATAATGGAGATGGTGGTTTTGATGATGATGATGATGATGATGATGATGATGATGATGATGATGATGATGATGATGATGATGATGATTGAGGTCATTTCAAGCCTTAAATCTCCATGGATGCAAATTTAGGGGAAATATAGAGATCCGTCGGCTGCGAGTACAAACCAAAACCGCTCAGATTGCTTTTTCGTTTCAACAAATACCATTACAAACTAATGTTATACATTAATATTATCACAGTCACTGAAAAATGTAATCAGAATGTTATTGAAACACCAACTTTCAAGTTTGCTCATACATTCCTCTAAGAAAAGCCATCGTCGTGTAGACTTTCCGCTCGAAAGAATGGAACAAATTGAATCGACACTGTAGCCTAGACCCCTATTCTTTAAAAACCCCGATACAGTCGTATTCTTGCAGTTTGACGATGCTCTTGAGATTTCCATACACTTTGTTTATCTGCAGACAGACCTGAAGTTTTGGTGCCTGCCTATCGAAATTACAGAGTTTTACCTGACATTTTTGGCTGTTTTGAGTTACAAAGAACACGAGGTCAGAAACCCATTAATGTTCAATTAGTATTAGCTCTATCAAAATCGAAAGACCATTCGGGGTCGTTATCAAGATATTTAAAATGTTGCATTCGAAAAAGCTTGACATTTTGTGAAACGCAACATTTTTTTGCGCCAAATTTCTCAAAACTAGGTAAAGAGAAGGTAGAACTTTGTAATTCAGGGGTAGCGTTATAGTGGGAAGGAAAAGAGCAACAGGAGGAAGCATGCCAGTTTGTCACAGGCATGATGGAAGTTATCACTGACACTCTCAAAAAGAGTTAATGAATGATTGATTGATTGTATGAATTGGATTTTTTTTCAATTGTTTTTAACGAATGAATATTCGTTGTTGAAATTTTACTGAGCAATTTGCTTTGATTTGCATGCAAAAAGGAAGAAATATTGAACAACACTAGCTGAATTGACATTTTAGAAGAACTATCTCTACACCACCAATTTGTAGGTGAAGAAAAAAAACAACTTAAGTGACAACTACAGTGTTAAAGTGCTGTTATTATGACTTTCATCAATACTAAAATAGTTAAATGAAGTAAGAAAGCGATCTTCTTCATGAGTGACAAACTGGGCCGATGACAAACTGGGCACCCCCCCTACAGGAGAAAGATTTTTGGAAGAATTAAAAAGTTACTCTGGGATCACTGATTCCAACCGTGTTTGATTGTTCAAATTTTAAAAACTCATTCCAATCTCTGTTTGACCCATGATCTGTGTCGTAATTCGTCAAATCTTTGTATACTTGTTGCTCGGTTTTATTTTTCGTACTTTATTCGAAGCATTGCTTGGTTGTTAATTTTTTCACAACTTATCTGTCATTGTTGGACAGATAATCTTTTTTCTTTTCTTGACTGTTTATCTTTTTAAAAATTCATTATTCATACTTTTTAAAAGACTAATAATTATACATGCATATTTTATCCGTGCTATTTGAAAGAGAACAAAAATGTATAGCTCACTTCGCTCTGAGCTTTTTTTAAAGGATGAAGTATGGTATACTGTTGATGCAATATGTCTCGTTTGTGTTGATATCAGGTACCATCTTTGTGGATGTAATTATATGTACCATTTGTGTTGATATAATATGTCCCAGCTGTATTGATATACGAGTAATATGTCCCATCTGTGCTGATGCAATCTGTCCCAGCTGCTTCCACGAATTCTGTTGATTAGGATCATTTCTGACTAATTTCGCTCTTTCCGAGACAACAAGACGCGACTTTTGAAGAAAAGTTAAATGTCAGAAGATAAAGACAAAAGAAACAGGAAGTCGGGGAGCATCTCGTAATTCCAAGACTCGTGGGCTCAGAAGGAAGCAGAGTCTGCCTGTTTTTTCGTCGCAGAATGGACCAGCCATGACCGACGCTGTTTGCGATAGTAATGCGGCTGAAAAACCACCAACGATAAACTGTAAAACTTTTCACAGAGCATAGAGCTATCATTACTGCTGACCTGAAACAGTATTTATGTTACAGATACCTTCATCTTTAATCTACAGGGGGAGGAGGGGTGTGTGTTGTATAG